GCGGCTCCGCCCCAGGAGCTACGCCACGCGGATCCACCCCCGCCCGCCCCTCTGGGCCACGCCCCTAAACCCGCCCCGGCGGCCCCAGCCTTGCTAGGAGTGGCTGGAAGGCACTTCGGCTGTCGCCTAGGCGATTTGACTCCACTTCCGGGGCGGGCTCGCCGCGAGAAGCTCGTGGGTTTGAGGAGAGCTGGGCGGAGGGAATCCAACTCTGAGCAGGGCAAACTCCAGTCAGTCGGAGTAGGAGTTTAGTTGGAACTCGCGGTCTCGCCGCCTGCTAGTGGGAAAAGCATATTCGTAGAGTGCTTCCGCGCCGCCGCCAGCCATGAGCTGGGACTACAAGTTAGGGCCGGCGGGAGCCCAGGAGCGTGGGTGGGAGAGGGCTGTTGTGGGAAGAGAGGCATGCTGGGAACTGTAGTGTCATCTCCACGTTCACAGCAGGTATGTCTGGTTACTAATGGCTTGGTGACTGTTGACGGCAATTAGACCTTCACACTTTGAGGAATGGCTACGGCCAAGAGAATGAAACCCTTCTTGAATGAAAGGACCTTTGCTTTTTGCAAATCCGTCGAAACCCTGCATAGTGGGCGCCACTTTTGGATAGATTGTGAATTAAAAGGAGAGAATTGAATCAAGATGTTGGGAGCCAATACATGAAGCAACAAACGCTGAAACTAAGGTCATAGTACCGAAATTACAAAGACAAATAGAGGTGAGAGAGACTGAAGGAACTCACAGAATTCGGTAACTAACTGGCTTAGTGGGCAAGAAGGAAGGTAGAATTAAATATTACTGAAATTAGCAGATTGGGAGAGATCAGAAAGTGTGTCAGAACATAAGACAGTGCATGGTATGGGTAAATGGGGACATTCATACAAAGATGGTAAGAGAAATGGGCACAACATATGTTTGGCCATAAATAAATCAAAAAAAAAAGTCATGCATGCTTTGGCTGAAATAATGTGTAGATAATATTAACATCTGTGTACAAACAAATGTTTATTGCAGCCTTATTTGTAATGGCAAGAGTGGAAACAACATACCTGCGTATCAAAAGGACACTGGTTAAAAAACAAAATCACATGCATGTAATTAAGTTTTATGAAGCTATTTTAAGAAATGAAAAAAAAGATCTATGTTGATGTGGAGTAGGCCCCAAGATCTGCTTATTAATGAGAAAAGTGAGGCACACATTACGTTTATGGTATTCTTCCATTTATTTAAAATGGAATGTAGATAAAATGTGGATAAAAAATACTTGAACATACATAGAATTTTCCTGATGGATACTTCAAAACTGTTAGCTGCAGTTGTCTATAGGAGAGCCTTGAGAATCTTTAGCAGAAATGAGGCCGCTTTTACCATGTATGTACATCACTTTTCCAACAAAATTAAATCAATTTAATTAAAAATTTTTTTTAGACTTTCAATCCAGGTGATAAGAACGGCAATATTTTTCATAGAAATTTACAAATAAAGGGAAAAAGAAGCAGATCTTATTTGGGAGATTTTTAAAAATGGCACAGGCCAAGTTTCAGAATTCCCACTCACTTACACCATAATTCTGAAGGAACTTGATCATCCTGTTCACAGCCGAGGGTTTGGGCACTTGACTCAAGTTAACCAGTCTCTGTATACTGGCCAGCAACTTATGGTCTGGTGTAGGAGCATGATCTGGACCAATCAGTTTTCACTGTTAAGAATCAACTAGGAAACCTAGAGAGAATAAGTTATTAAGCAACAAGGGCAGAACCTGAATAGGATGGGGTAGAGTTAGGGATTTGGCAGGCTGAAGCTTTGTGAGAGAGTATAAAGAATCTGGTCAGTCAAGAAAGGAGTGTTAAGCAGGCATGCAGAGATATGTAGAGATGTCATGATCTAACTCATGTGGCCAGGGGAGAGATGGAGAGAATTCCTGGAACAACTTGACTTCCTCATAACTTTTCAGGACAGATTTAGTTGCCATTTATTCGGTAAATAAATACTGCTTTTCCTGAAATAGAATGGAGCAGTAGTAAAGAGCATGGGCTCTGAAGTGAGATAGTTTCAAAAACTCACTCCATTTCTTACTCAGAGCAAGTCACTTAACCTCTCTAAGCCACAGTTTATCTTAGGAAAGCCACCTAGTGCTGTCTTAACAAAGTGTGTTCAGAATTAGTGTACTGTACATTACACTTGTTTATAGAAAACACAAAATGAGAACTGGTTCAACAAAGAATGAATGATTTCTGGACCTTTTACTTTTTTACCTCTTGTTTCTTCTTTAGGCTCATTCCTTCCTGACTAGCCACCCTTTACTCTGGGTAAATACATGAGGGATGAGAAGAAAGCCAAATACCATTTTCAAAAAATCTCTTCTTAGTACTTATGTGAAGGTTTCAGTGGGAGTTTAAAACTAATAATCAAAAAGAGGTTTCAGGATTATCTATCTGTTTCATATTTACAGTATTCTTTTCCCCTCTAGCTCAGGTAAAATAATGCTTTATATTTGCATACAAAATTTCACTTTTGGAGTATTTTCACATCTATTCTCTCATAAAATCTACCTTTGTTATAGCTTTCTTGGCATTACAGCTCTCTGTGAGTTCTGTTTTTTGTTTTTTTTTCTTACAACCCTGGGAAGTAATTTGGCATCACTGTACTCATTAATAGATGAAAAGCTAAACAAAACATTTGAGTGAACATGACTAACTCACTTGTTAAAAAAAGAAAACAAAAACAACCATGTTGGTTACATGGCTGGAACCCACAGGTCCTGAGTTTCCAGCTTGTTGCATAAAACCACTGAGTCACAATGCTTTTATGCCTGGTATAATTTAAATGAAACTACAGATGAGGATTCAAACCATTTTGAGATTCTGCCAAAGCAGCACTCTTGAGTTTAACTTGTCATTTCATTCTACATCCCTCAGTGCTCTCTGTACTCCCTGACTAAAAATCTCATAGCTGAGAAGTTATGGGAGAGTGAATAAGAAAGAAGGGAGGGAAATTCTTTAGTTTATTCCTGATATCCCTACTCCCTCATTCCTAGACCTAGTCACAGCAAAAGAGCTGTTGACCATTTTTTAATCTGTGAGTTTGTTGTTGAAATATGTAATCCCATGGATAGAGAACTGGGTAAATAAAGGAGCATAACTTTTTAGTCTAGGGTAGCATAAGATTTTTAGAAGAAAGGCATAAAAAAATGGAGAGAAGTTTGGAAAAGATGAAATTTCTTTAATACTTAATATGTTTGTGAGCAAATATTTCAGAGCTTTTTCCAATAGTACTCCCTGTTCATTTTCATAACTCTAAAGTAGGTAGTCCAGGTATTATCTTTATTTATGCTTTAGAATACTAGTGAGGATAATAATGCCTAAGCTTAGTAAAATTATTTGCCAAAGGTCATATAGGCGGCCGAACTGGAACCAAAACCCAAGAGGCTCTCCACTCAATGGAAACTTCAGAGTGTTACACAATAAAGGCTAAATATTGTAGTGTAATAATAAATGCTAACTGCAGGGGAATGTAGTAATTAAATCCACCCTATTCTCTAAATTCTGCATCTCATATTTCTTATGTTGCTTCATTTAACAAAGAAAAAAATTAATATTTTATAAATAACTTCAAAGTCAAGTATTACCTGAGCATCTAATTAGTGATCCTTCAACGTGATGACATTTAGTGTCGTATTCAGGAATGGATCATTAACAAGGGCGATGAAATATGATTATACCATGTAATTCATCCAGTGTATTGATTGGGTGGGCTCGGGCCAAACTGTCAGCATGAAGCTCCGGAACAAAACAGGCAGAAAATTTTCATTCAGTGACTGCTAATATTTTATATTAAAAATAAATTGTAGATAAAGACAAATACTGTATGATTTCATTTATATGTGAATGTTTAAAAAAACAAACCAAAACTTAGGTGGAGGAGGCAGAGTTGGTGGAAGGTGGTCAAAAGCTACAAACTTCCAGTTATAAGATAAATAAGTACCAGGGATGTGATGTACAACATGATGACTGTAACACTGCTGTATGACATATAGGAAAATTGTTAAGAGAATAAATCCTGAGTTCTCACCACAAGGAGAAAAAAATTTTTTATTGTGTCTCTTTGAGATGATGGGTGTTATTAGCTAAACCTGGGGCAGTAATCATTTCACAATATATATAAATCAAACCATCATGCTGTACGCCTTAAACGTATACAGTGATGTGTCAAGTATTTCTCAGTAAAACTGGAGAAAAAGTTAAATTGTGATTCTACTTATATGAGATATCTAAAGTAGTCAAATTCATAGAAACATAAAATGGTGGTTACCAGCAGCTGGGAGTAGAGGGAAAAGGGCAGTTTAATGCAGTAAGGGTTTGTGGCCTATTAGGTATCAGGCTGCACAGCAGGAGGTGAGCAGCAGGTGAGCAAGGG